GGCAAACCACTTCTGTAAAACCTTACCAAGAAAACTCCAGGGAGTTATCCAGGCAATCTCCAAGAATTAGACACAACTTATTGGAAGAAAAAAGAAACCAAATTACTGTAACTATGTTTTCTGAATGTGTGAAGTTCCTCTCTCTCAAATAAAATTCATCTATGTTTGGATAAAAGGTAGAAAGAATGAATGAATGAGTCAATCAACAAACCATTCATTCATTCATTCATTCATTCATTCACTCACTCACTCACTTGCCCACCTAATTCCATTTGTTCGTTTGTTTGTTTGTTCGTTCATTCATTCATTCTCTCAACCACCTAACTTCTCATTCATTTATTCATTCATTCACTCACCCGCCCACCTAACTTGTCATTCATTCATCCATTCGTTCATTTGTTCATTCACTTACTCACTCACCCAACTTCTCATTCATTTATTCGTTCATTCACTCACTCACTCAATCTAACTCCATTCATTCATTCGTTCATTTGTTCACTCTCACTCACCCCACCTTACTCCATTCATTCGTTCATTCGTTCATTCACTCACTCACCTGCCCACCGAACTCTTCATTCATTCATTCGTTCGTTCGTTCATTTGTTCATTCACTCACTCACTCACCCGCCCACCTTAGTCCATTCATTCATTCATTCGTTCGTTCATTTGTTCATTCACTTACTCACTCACCCAACTTCTCATTCATTTATTCGTTCATTCACTCACTCACTCAATCTAACTCCATTCATTTATTCGTTCATTTGTTCTCTCACTCACCCCACCTTACTCCATTCATTCGTTCATTCGTTCATTCACTCTCACCTGCCCACCAAAATCCATTCATTCATTCATTCATTCATTCGTTCGTTCATTCATTTGTTCATTCACTCACTTACTCACCCGCCCACCTTAGTCCATTCATTCATTCATTCGTTCATTTGTTCATTCATTCTCACCCGCTCACCTTAGTCCATTCATTCATTCGTTCGTTCACTTACTCACCTGCCCACCTAACTCCATTCATTCATTCATTCATTCATTCACTCATTCATTCATTCATTCATTCATTCACCCACCTAACTCATTCATTCATTCATTCAATATGGCTGCCCCTTCGCCATGCAATCCGTTTTCCCCCAAAGCTTGATTTGCAATCAGAAATTCCCCCTTGATAATAATAATAATAATAGTAAAGTTGGAAGGGACCTTGAAGGTCATCTAGTCCAACCCCCTGCTCAGGCAGGAAACCCTATACCATTTCGGACAAATGGCTGTCCAGTCTCTTCTTAAAAACTTCCAGTGTTGGAGCATTCAC